GACAAGTGCGTAGTTTAAAGGAGGAAGCGGATGCTCGGCGGAGGAAGAAATATTAGGAAGAAGGAAGGTTGAAGAATGGTACATCAACTCCATGTTTATCGCTTAACCACCACCGCTTTACGGAGCATAGGAGGAAGCATACAAAAACTATCTTTAAACCTCTACTTTCGTTTGCAAGCAGTCCTGTCCGTTGAATAACGTATAATACAATAATACAAAGAGTGAAGAAGAATCAACAATGGCGGACACAGTGATTAAAGTGTTGACTTTCTATTTTCTCTTTGGTTCTTTTGGGAATTTTCCTGAGAAAGGTCTGTAGACTTCCACGGAGATCTTACGTGGGACCTTTTCGTCTCTGCAACTTTGTAGTGGTCAGAGTTGAACGCCCCCGTGCTCCGTAAATTGTTCGGTTAGATTTGATGATTGAAAAGACGAACCGATTCCGGTAAAAAGTTAACGCCGTATTTTACGATTGACCCGAAATTACGGTCCGATCTGACCGGGGCTGGATCTGTTTATTAAATACTTTATTTTTTATATTAATTTTTTCATTGACATATATTAATGTATAATATTTAATTAGTTATAATATTTAATCTTGAGAAATAAATAAAGAGAAAAGAAAGAAATAGAGGAGGAAATCGGAGTAATAATTTTATTTTTTTTCTTAATTGATTATAACGTAAAGATTAAGCTTTTTATAAGTTGTAAGTAATTAAAACATCCACCATCATGTTCGGAATTAAACTTCTGTTAAGTAAATTCAAAACGTTAACTCTAAACCTAACCCTAATTGATACTTGTAAAAGACTAATTTACCTATTTTATTATTTCTCTCTCTCTTTTTTTTTTTTTATTCTTAAAATTGTCAATCTTCAAATTTCAGATATCGGAATCGTTATACAATGCATATGAGAGTCTATTTTCAGACAAAGACAGAATTTTATTTTAAAATTTAGACAGTGTAACATACTGTTTAATACTATCTAAATCACATATAATCACAAACAAATGAGCTCTATCATATATAGATAGAAACAAATCCATCACTTGAAATTTATGCAATGTAACATACTGTTTAGAATTATCTAAATTATATATATTAAAAAACAAATACGCCCTATCAAATATAAAAAAAATTTCGTCCATATCGAAAATTAACCAAAATCGATAGAAAATATAAAATTTGATACATATATATATATGAATAACTTGCTATTCCTTATCGAATATTTAACGAATGTTATATCGTGCAACAATCACATAGAGGTTTTACAACGTAACTATTTTAACATAAAATAAATAACAAGTAGAGAGAAGGAGTTTCAAAAAGGTGGCTCCTATAGTAACTACTTGTCATATTTGCAATTGCTTATAGGTCAATATTAGGTGCTAAATCTTTCGTAGCTAAAATAATTATTTTCTGAACTAAACTAATCAATTATTACATACAATCAAAAGATAAACTAAAATGCACGAGGGTCAGAAACAACTAGTTTTAATTCTAAAGTACAAAATTTAATCGAGACACTAGCTTGATAAATGTGTTAAACGTCATAAAAGAAATGACTCAAGCAAAAACTTACGTATTATATATCAAAAACTAAATATGTATTTGAAATTTTATACTTATCGGTTTTTCCTCTCTATCTTAAAATAATATAGAAAAATTAATTAAACTACTAATGAGGTAAATAAAATGGCGTCTCTACATAAAATAGCTTAGGGACCTCTTCTTCCTCAATCCACTCTCTCTGTATGGATCGTTCCATTTGAAAAACTCATTTATATATTATTCAGATTTTTCGAAAACGTAATATTAACTTATAGTGAGATAATGTTGAACAAACTAAATGTATATTACGAACATTTTTCAAATATCATAAACGTAGACGACACCTCTTATTTTTTTAAATAATCAGTTACAATATACATGAAAGAAAACAAACAATTATTTCTCTATAAATAGGATAAAATATTTATAAAAAAATATAAATTTCATTCACCTTATTTTATTATTAATTTACTATTTAATTAAATATATTTAATAAAAAATTATTTAATATTTTAAATTTATTCTGTATAATTATTATTTTAAATAAATTTTTTAATAATTTAACATCAAAATATTAATTACCAACAATAATAATCATTTGTTGTTACTGGCTTTTTGAACAACAGGGTAAATAACCTATGTTGAGATGAGATTGTAAGGAAACCAAATGCATGTTCCATCTATCAAACATCATAAACGGAGACGACATCTCTTATTTTCTGAACCGAACCGATCCGATCAATTACCATGTACGCGCAGAATGAGAGACCGAAATGCATGAGTCGGAAAAGGCAATTTATAATTCCTAAAAGAGAAATTTCATCAAGTCATTAGCTTGATATTCTTCTTCTAAAAAAGTTATTAGCTCGATAAATATTGTAAACTTCCTAAAAGAAATGCCTCAAGCAAAAACCTATATATTATACATCGGAGACGGAACCTGCATTAGGAATTCCATAGCTGCCGGTTCCCCCTCTCATCTTGGCCATCTTTTCTTAAAGATGGCATAGAAAAATCAACTAAACAAGGAATGGGTTTATACACAATGGTGTCTCTACATAAAGTAGCTCAAGGATCTCTTCTTCCTCGATCCACCCTCTCCGTACAGATCGTTCCACTGGAGAAGCTCATTCATATTTGTAGACTCTGATGACACACTCGCACACACCTGTGTCATCAAATCAAACATTGGATTACATTCAAATACATGTTATTTTAGCATGCCCAGGATAAGGGCTATTCAGAGGGCTTTTAGGAGAAAGTAGTCTTAGAACTTTAGATCCTTCCATCTTCAAATACATGTTATGTAGATAGTTTGATGAAGTTCAAATTAACACGCAAATCTTCAAATTAAAATCATCATAACCACTAATACCTGCTCGTGCGCATATTTAAAATCGTCAATCTTCAAAGGCCGGATATCACAACTGCTGTACAATGCAGGTGAGGGTCTGTTTTCAGACAAAGCTAAAGCTCTCTCCTGAAAGTTAAGCAATGTGAGATACTATTTAGCATTATATAAATCACAAATAAACATAATCCTGAAGTATACAAGATTTTTTGTCCACATTGGAAATTGATCAAAATCTTTAAGGAATATAAATTTTGATATTATATGAGAATAACCTGTTTTTCCTTCTCTAATATTTCTCGAATGGGACAGTGTGCAGCAGTCACGCAGAGGTTCTGCAACATAATTCTTTTATCAAGAACCCAGTAGAGAAAAATGAATTTCATATAGAATAAAGAACAATTAGAAAGAAAGAGTTCCAACCTTAAGGTCGCTTCCAGAGTAACCATCTGTCATATTTGCAATTGCTTCTAAGTCAACATTAGGTGCTAAATCTTCCTTAGCTAAAATAACTCTAAGAATTTTTTCTCTGTTTTGGGCATCTGGCAAGTTAACCATCAATCTGTACATAACAACTAGGATTAATGGCATTAATCACACTCCATGTAATCACACTCCAGGTAGTACGAAATTCATACAAATTGCTAAAATAGTTACGGTTACCTCCGAGGAAGCCTTCTAATAACTGCCTCATCAAGGTCAAAGGGCCTATTTGTAGCAGCAAGAACCAGGACACGTTCTTTATCCTTCGTCCGCAAACCATCCCAGTTTACCATAAATTCATTCTTCATTTTCCGCATAGCTTCATGTTCTCCCGGATTTTCCCTTCTTCCCAGCATGCTATCAACCTAAGGCAACTACCCGATTCAGCAAGAAGAGCATTTCTC